TTTTTTTATCGAATTTTTCGAAGGAAAAAATAGAAAAAAAAAAAAAATCTTTTTTTATCTGTAACGGATCAACTGCTTCTCATTCATTATGAATGAGTTTCCCGGTCCGTGATTATCAAAGAGAGGGAACCTGAAAACCACAAATTCTGTATATTTTCTCATTATTTAAAATTTATAATTATTTACTTAAAAGAAACCTATTTTGTATTATTAACATATGATATCTTTAACAAATCAGGTTAAATAAAAATAGTAATTCTTTTTCATTTTGTGTAACAAAATAAGACGCGAATAACGCGAAGTTTAATAACAAAAAAGGACTTTTTTCTAAAAAATTTTCCTGATAAAGAAAAGTACTTTGTCCGATATTTAAGATTCAACCGAGAATTTGGACGGATCAAGTAATGTAAATCTCACCACTTGGTAAACTTTAGATATAAACAAGTTTTACAAGTTTTACAAGTTTTAACTGAAACTAATTTCCTCCTCGTTCTTCAATACGACCAAAATTGTTCTATACGACTAAAATTGTTCTCATTAAAAAAGATCAAACATGAGAAGAATATTGGTACAATATTGGTATAATATTGGAATAATATTGGAATAATATTGGTATAGTATTATAGTATTGGTATAGTATTGGTATAATATTGGTATAATATTATACCATAAACATAAATATTATAAGATTATTAAAAGATTATCACAACCTTTTCGAATATTACTATACACCCTGTACATACATTAATTTTGTACGCTATTATCTTGATGCATCAAACATCTTTGATGTCGCGTGGCCCTTGCGTACCGTATTTTCATTCTTTTCCTTGGTTCACTCATATGATATTCAAATATATCATGAAGATATTGATATGATTTTACTTTAACAAGATTTCATTACAGAGTAGATCTCATTTAAGTTATAGTTATAGTATAGTTATAGTATAGTTATAGTGTAGTTATAGTGTAGTTATAATATGGTTATAGTATACAGTGTTTTAGATCGAATTTTTCTTTGTTTTCTTTTTGACAAATTAAGTCTTACATACCGTTTTTGTTATTTGTACGATTTATAATGATTTTAATTTTGATTCGTTTTCGGTTGTCATCAATTTTTAAAACCTCACATATTTTTAATGTCCGACGATCAAATAATATTAATTATGGTTATACAAATAAACGAATGATTATGTGTTGTTTTATTAATTTATATGCTCTCTTAAATATGATTTTATGTTGTTTTATTAATTTATATGCTCTCTTTACCTTTTGTTACTCTTTTTCTCTATTAAAGTTGCATTTTTTTTTAATAGTTTCATCGAATGAAATGGAAAAAAAAATTAAAATTAATATTTCATTATCGGTACTTTATCGGTGATTGACTTGATTAAATATGGTAATGTATATATATATATAT